AAAAGTTCCATAGGGACAAGTAAAAGTTGTTTTCTCTTGGTCATCCGGGTTTATAGGGATTTGAAAGAAACCCGAATAACCATCAAGAAAGCAATAATACTTGTGCTTGGTTAGTCTTTCAAGCATTTGGTCGATAAAAGGGAGAGGAAAATGATCCTTGTTGGTGGATGCATTTAGACGTCTATAGTCTATGCACATCCTCCAACCGGTCACCGTTCTAGTTGAAATGAGATTACCATTCTCATTTTCAACTACGGTCATTCCTCCCTTTTTAGGGACCACATGAACGGGGGAAACCCATCTAGAACTCGAAATGGGGAAGATGATGCCGGCATCAAGGAGTTTGGTGATTTCTTTCTTCACCACCTCCCCCATTTGAGGATTGAGTTTCCTTTGCCTCTCAATGGAAGGCTTAGCACCCTCCTCAAGTGTTATGTGGTGCATACATAAAGCGGGGCTAATACCTTTGAGGTTATCTATGGTATAGCCTAAAGAACCTTGGTGATCTCTCAAAACACCACATAACATTTGAGTTTGGCACTCGTTCAAAGAAGAATTCACAATAACCGGAAAAGTTGAATTGGGGCCCAAAAACTCATACCTTAGGTGTGATGGTAGAGGTTTCAACTCTACCATTGGAACACCCTTACCTTCTCTTGAGGTAGCTACTTCTAATGCATCATGTGTTGTGATTCCCATGCACACTTGCTCATTGCTTGATTCCGTACTTCCTTCAAGCATCTCTTCATACAATGCCATCTCTTTGCTTTGGTCACCTATCTTTTCCTTGTTCAAAAGGACATTCTCAAGGGCATCGTTAGTAGTGAGCAAGTGCTCATGCATAGAAGTTACAATAGAATCAATAGTATCAATCATCATGCAATTATCAAGACTAGAGCTTGGATATTTCATGCTCTCATTCAAATCAAATTCTATCACCTCATCTCCTACTTTTAGTGAAATTTTAGCACTTTGAACATTTATTAAAGCACCCGAAGTAGCAAGAAAAGGTCTTCCTAGAATTATTGGAATGTTAACATCTTCATCCATCTCTAACACAACAAAATCCACCGGGATTACAAACTTCCCCACCCTTAGAGGAACATCCTCTACCTTACCCTTTGGGAATTTAATAGAGCGATCGGCCAATTGTAGGGTGATGTTGGTGGGTAGAAGTTCCCCTATCCCAAGTCTTTGGTATACCGAGTATGGCATTAGTCTAACACTAGCCCCTAGGTCACACAAAGCATTATCAATTTGCATCTTGTATATTGCACATGGGATAGAAAAGTTACCGGGGTCTTTTAATTTGGGTGGCATCTTGTTCATGATAATTGCACTACAATTCTCGGTGAGACTCACCGTTTCAACCAATTCACACTTTCTCCTTCCACTCAAAATATCTTTCAAAAACCTAGCATAGTTAGGCATTTGCTTGATAGCATCGGTAAAAGGAATTGAAAGGTGAATTTGTTTCAATGTTTCAAGAAATTTTCCAAATTGCACATCTAATTTGTTTCTAACAAATTTGTGAGGATATGGTAGTTTTTGCAATTGTTTTGTTTCTCTCTCTTTTTCTCTTCTCTCTTCACTCTCTTTTTCAAAATCTTTCTCTTTCTCAAATTCTTTTTCTTTCTCACATTCTTTCTCCTTTTCATTCTCATGGTTTTGCTCTCTCTCTTGTTCAAAATCACTTTTAAAGGGAGGTTCACTCATGTTCATTCTCTCATTGCTTTTTTTAGGAACACTTTCTTCCAAAACTTTACCACTCCTTGTTGATATAACATTTACGGGCCTCTTAGGATCTAGTCCTTGGGGTGGTAGTTTAGAAGTGCTAGTCCCTTCCTTCAAAGCATTGGCCAATTGTGAAATTTGTGTCTCTAGCATTTTATTATGGGTCATCACTTCACTAAATTTCTTTTCACTTGAGGCCATGAAAGAATTGAACATTTTAGTTTGATTTTCCATCATTTCCTCCCAAGCTAGACCTACTATGTGGTGCTTGTGCATAGTGGTTGTCTTGGGAAGCCCTATTACCTCTAACATTCGAATTGGACGTATTTTGATTAGAAGAACCTCTATTATTATTGTTGTTCCAATTGTTCCGATTATTAGAGTTTCCCCCTTGGTGAAATTGCCCTTGATTCCCATAGTTTCCTTGATTATTATGATTATGGTTACCATAACCACCTTGTTGGTTGTAGTTACCTTGGGGATTTTGGTCCCTTTGGTTCCTACTTCCCCATTGATTTTGATTATGGTAATCGTAATCATTTCCTCTTTGGTTATAGGAATTCCCCCCTTGTTCTCTTCTATTTGGTGGTAAGTATCTTTGATTGTCATTCCTATGTCTATTATCATAAGACAAGGCATTGACTTGTTCATTTTCATTTTCATTACCATCTTCGTATTGGGGTTGGGGTTGGAAATCATAACTACAAGAAGAGGTATCATGGTCATAAGACCCACAATTTTCACAAAACAAACATCCATGAGGCATGTTATTAGAAGTAGAGGGAGAAGAGTTAGAATTCATACCTCTCCCCTTAGATTGGGAGGGATGCTCTTGTGTTGAACTAGAGGTCTCTAGTTTTGCCTTAATGGACGTCATCTCCTTTCCAAGGTTGGCGATTTGGGAGGTCAAATTGTTGATGGCATTAAGGTGATCAACGGAGTAAACCGCATTTCCTCCCTTGTTTAGAGAATCTCTCTCTCCTTCTTGCCAATCCATGTGGTGCCTCACCACATCCTCAATTATCTCTATGACTTGCTCCTCCGTCTTGTTCATAATCGGGCCACCCGCTCCTGCATCCAAGCTAGTCTTTCCTTGTGGGCTCAAGCCCCCATAGAAAATTTGAAGCACTTGATATGGCGGAATGCCATGATGAGGGCACTCCCTTTGATATTCCTTGTATCGTTCCCATGCTTCATAAATGGTTTCACTAGCTTTTTGACGGAAACCTTGGATCAAAGCTCTTGCCTCGGCCGTCTTCTTTTGGGAATAGAATCTTCCTAAGAAAGTCGTGGTGACCTTGTCCCAAGTTCTCAAAGAGTTAGGCCTCACCTCCTTCTCAAGTCATTCGAGAGCTCTTCCTATCAAAGAAAAAGGAAACAACTTTAGTCTCACAAACTCTTGAGTTACCCCATTTACCTTGATCGTGTTACAATATTTTTCGAACTCGTTCAAGTGTGCAAGAGGGCTCTCATGTTTTGCTCCACTATATTGCCTCCTTTCAATCAAATTAATCATTACGGGCCGAATCTCGAAGTCATTGGCTTGAGTAACGGGTGGAGCAATGCCGCTTGAAGCTCTATAAGCTCCCGGAGTTCCCAACTCCTTTAAAGGTCTTTGAGGTGGTGCTTCCGCGTCACCCATTTGATCTCGATCCTCCTCGAAATTGGTCTCTCTAGCTGGGGGAGTAGTAAACGGCCTAAAACCGACTCTTTTTCTCCTTCTATAAGTTTGCTCAATCTCGGGATCGTAAGGTACCAAGATCCTGTTATGAGTTCTGCGCATACACTCTCAACAAACGCAATTAGTACCAAGGCTACAAGTGTAGTCAAAAAGAGACAATATTTTTGAAATTTTTTTTTATGGTGAACTAGACTCAAGTAATCAATTAGCTACCAACAACACCGTTCCCCGGCAACGGCGCCATTTTGATGGGCGTTAGAACGGTCGTACATTCCACACTCAATCAAACACATTTATTAACAAACACCTTACAAACCAAGCATAATGACAAGTAAGAGTTCGGTCCACAAGGAACGGGATATGATTGCCAAAGATCTTTACACTTAAGCTAACTCGAAGTCAATTGGTGAATTGGTGTTCGTCAAGAAGACAAACAAACTATGGTTCTAAATCAATGAATTAAAGATACTAGGGAATGAGATCCACTCAACCAAGGCAAATAGGCAAACGGGGAGTAAAATAGACAAGATATAGCAAGGACTATATGTAAAATCAACCTCATGCAATTAGAAAACAACTCACACTACTAAACTTAGATTCCTCATTAGTTTAGCAATAGATGATACATAATCAAATTACAATAAGTAATGACGTACTCAATTTACACTTCCATGTCAAATTAGGCATATCATACTATCAAGCTCCTTAGTCAAGGGTAGCTAAACCTATCATGAGGAACTAACAAGCAATCTCATATAATCAATTTAATTGCAATACAAACATCAATGCTTCTCCCACATTTGCATAGTTAACCTAAAAGGTCGAGCTTCACCCAACCCCTAGCAAGAAGACTACTCACAACTCATGTTTATCAACATGCGATCAAGAATTAGGGTTCTAAATACTTCAATAATTGGGGAAAAGTGGTTAACAATTGAAATAACTATCATCCAATAACAAATTACCAAGAACTAAGAAGATTTAAATAACATGCAAATACCAAATAAAATCTGAAATTAAAAGGAAAAAGGTTGGAGAAATTACTAATTGAAGCTTCAAATGTTGAATACAAATTGCCAAACTTTGAGAATAATTCTTGAATTTCACTAATACAATGATTTTATTTGATGAAAACTAAGCTAAATTAATCCTAAGGAATTGTTCAAACTAAGAGAGGTTTCTGAAAACTAGGCTACTGTCCTTTTTTTTTCTTTTCTTTTCAAAAACGATCTCGAAAGGACCTTAAAAGTCCGTACAAAATTGGCTGAGATCGGGAAAAGGTCCGACCGAACTCTGGGTAGGTTCGGTCGGACTCAGGGTAGGTTCGGTCGAACCCTGTGTAGGTTCGGTCGAACCTCCCTGATCCTTGTTTGGTCGAACTTTTGAGGTTCGACCTCTCCTGCAAAATTGCTGAAAACTGGTTTGACACTGCCTTCACTGCACCCTGGAGGTTCGGTCAAACTTTTCAAAAGTTTGACCACACAAAGGTTCGACCGGACCTTTCAGAGGTTCGGCCACACCTCCTCTTGCACTTCCTTTTCTTGCTTCCTCTTCTTCCCTTTTGCTCCTCTTGCCTTTGTCCATGGCTTCCATACTTGGCCAAGGGGCCTCCCACCGTGCATAGGACCGTCATGGAACCTGCAGAAGATACCAAAGTTCACGAGAGCATGGGGATGATAAAATAATGCATAAAGATTATCAAAATAAGCGCAAATAAGCATTACTTTTCATCAACACAAAAAGAAGCCATAAGAGGATAATGAGGTGGAAAAACCTAAGAAAAATAAGAGGAAAAAGACCTAAATACTACCCCTAAGAGTGACATAAATGTCACTCATCAGTAGGCTTGAGTTGATGAAATCGGTGCAAGTTGTAAACCGGTAAATTGGTCGTTTAAAGACAAATTGGATGGTTTTACCCACCCAATGGGACTCCCGGACGGTATTAGGGATCATGGTTAATATTTTGGCAAGTTTTATTTACGGGCGAAAAAAGTCAAAAATTACAAAATTGAAGGCTAATATCAACACTTTTTGAGAAATTTTGGTGGATTCGGGTAAAGTTGTCAATTCGGGTAAACGGGTCAGGTTTGGGTCGGTAAGATTGGGTCGGGTCAATTCGGATTAATTCCATAACCTATGTGGGTAGGGTCAATTTCATAACCTATGCGGGTCGGGTTCGGGTTGGGTCATGCTTTAGTCGAGTCATACTTTTTATCGGGTTTGAGTCGAGTTAATAACAAGTCGGGTTACATTCGGGTCGGGTGAGCAAAAGGTCGGGTTTAATTCGGGTTTTCACGGGTTAAAACGGGTTAGGGTAATTTTCGGGTTCGAGGCGGGTTCGGTTCAAGTCAATAATTTGCGGGTTATAATCAAGTCGGGTCATTCTTGAGTTTGAGTTGAGTTCGGTTCAAGTCAATAATTTACGGGTTACAATTATCTCATTTGACCATACAACAAATATATAATATATTTAACTCTTAAATTTGAGGATGAGGCTCCTTTCTTTTGCTGGCCTAGACCGACTTGGTCTCTCTAGACAAAATGCTTTGATCAACAATAATAAGGTGGTCTAAATTGCATTTAAGGTGATTTGAAATCGGGTCAGGAACAATTTAGGTTGAATTTAGGTCGGGTCAATAACTAGTCGTGTTGATTTCGAGTCGGGTTTGTAACAGTTCAGGTTGAATTTTTGGGTCGGGTTAGTAATAGGTCTGTGATAAGTGGTTTATTTGACCACTTATTGTGTAAATTTAAACCCGATTTTGCGATCATTTTCCCTCTTTCTAACCCAATTTTGAATGAAAATGTTTTGTCTCGGCTTTCCCCCTCTTGGTTTGTGTTTGTCCATGTTTTGCAGGTCTATGGACTCAATTGGGCAGGCTTTCGGTGCATGAATCGTGTTTAAGACAAGAGGACTGAAGATTGGAGAGGGCGCTCCAGGGGAGCGGGCGTGCACCTCTCATGGAGCGGGCGCTCCTCGACTCTAGCTACATTCTACGCAAGTTCAGGTGCTGTTAGGAGCGGGCGCTACTCCCTTTGAAGTTGAATCTGCCCATGCTGCTAGAACAGGGGAGCGAGCGTGCATCATGTGAGGAGTGGGCGCTCCTCCCTGACACTTTTAAATCTGATCCTTCATTGAAGCATTCTAGAGAGGGCGTGCAGCCAAAAGGAGCGGGCGCTCCTAGCTTAGGAGCGGGCGCTCCTCATTGTGGAGCGGGCGCTCCTCTCTGGGAATCCGTTTTCTTTTGACGGTTTTCCCTATGTGTTTCGGGGAGTATAAATACTTCCCCTTTTAGCTCATTTAGGGGGAGAGTACAGTAGCCTAGTTTTCAGAAACCTCTTTTAGTTTGAAACATTCCTTAGGATTAATTTAGCTTAGTTTTCATCAAATCAAATCATTGTATTAGTGAAATTCAAGAATTACTCTCAAAGTTTGGCAATTTGTATTCAAAATTTGAAGCTTCAATTAGTAATTTCTCCAACCCTTTTTCACTTAATTTCAGATTTTATTTGGTATTTGCATGTTATTTAAATCTTCTTAGTTCTTGGTAATTTGTTATTGGATGATAGTTATTTCAATTGTTAACCACTTTTCCCCAATTATTGAAGTATTTAGAACCCTAATTCTTGATTGCATGTTGATAAACATGAGTTGTGAGTAGTCTTCTTGCTAGGGGTTGGGTGAAGCTCGACCTTTTGGGTTAACTATGCAAATGTGGGAGAAGCATTGATGTTTGTATTGCAATTAAATTGATTATATGAGATTGCTTGTTAGTTCCCCATGATAGGTTTAGCTACCCTTGACTTAGGAGCTTGATAGTATGATATGCCTAATTTGACATGGAAGTGTAAATTGAGTATGTCATTACTTATTGTAATTTGATTATGTATCATCTATTGCTAAACTAATGAGGAATCTAAGTTTAGTAGTGTGAGTTGTTTTCTAATTGCATGAGGTTGATTTTACATATAGTCCTTGCTATATCTTGTCTACTTTACTCCCCGTTTGCCTAATTGCCTTGGTTGAGTGGATCCCATTCCCTAGTATCTTTAATTCATTAATTTAGAACCATAGTTTGTTTGTCTTCTTGACTAACCCCAATTCACCAATTGACTTCGAATTAGCTTAAATGTAAAGATCTTTGGCAACCATATCCCGTTCCTTGTGGACCGAACTCTTACTTGTCATTATGCTTGGTTTGTAAGGTGTTTGTTAATAAATGTGTTTGATTGAGTGTGGAATGTACGACCGTTCTAACGCACATCAGTCTGGTAAAATTCGGGTCGAGTCATAACAAGTCGGGTTGAATTTGGGTCAAGTGAATAACAAGTCAGGTTGATTTCGAGTCGGGTTTGTAACAGGTTCGGTTAAATTCGGGCCGTTCAGGTCTGGTTAGTTAACAAGTCGGGTTAAATTCGGGGTTTTACGGGTTAAAACGAGTTTGGGTCAATTTCAGTTCAAGTCGGGTTCGGTTCAGGTCAATAATTTAAGGGTTACATTCGAGTTGGGTCATCTCTAGGTCAATCGGGTTCGGGTCTCACATACTCGGGTCTAGGGTTGGTTTCAGGTCAAATCGGGTTTGGGTCACCATTTTTTCGGGTTCAGATGGGTCGGTTAATAATCGGGTTTGAGTCGGTATTTCAGGTTGGGTCAACTTTTAACAGCTCTAGTTCCAAACACCAATGCAGAAAAATTGTTTGAATTTCATAGTTTGTCAAGGTAAAACGATTCTAAATATATTGGCTCACTATAAAAATTAAAAGAACATATTCATTTCAACTAGTCAAAGTGTATATACCTTGTCCTGACCTCCAACATCCCACACAGTGAAGCTGATGTTCTTGTACTCAACAGTCTCCACATTAAATCCTGTTGAACAAAAAGAACAAAGAAAATGAGAAGCAACTCCATCAAGATTCCACCTCTTTCAATAATCATTACCTTCAAAATGCGATGAAGATAAACATACCAATGGTGGGGATGGTGGTGACAATTTCTCCCAACTTGAGCTTATACAAGATGGTAGTCTTACCAGCCGCATCGAGACCTACCATAAGTATACGCATCTCCTTCTTGGAGAATAGTCTGCTAAATAGCTTGGTGAAAGTAAGCCCCATCTTCGCATCCTCTCAACTCCAACAATCTAAATTTAGCCTTATTAATATATGATGTCAAATTGTAATCTACAAATTTTGTATTGCAAATCATATACTCCGTACAATATAAATAGTATTAGATCCTAAAGTTTCCATTTACAATGAATTTATTAAGGTAGCATAACAAATCATGTGGTAAAACATTTGATTCAATTCAACGAAATGTGGATCAAAATACATTGTATTATACTGATTACATATTCAAGTCCATAACTTTGGTTCCCAACACCCAGATCTCAGCCACATTACAAACGTCTTCCAAATTCTAATTAGAACAATTAATGGCAAAAGAAAAAAAAGACAAAATCTTGTTGCGAATTACACAATTTTAAATCCCAGATTATAAACTCCATCACATTTTCTATGGCAATAATATAAATCACAATAATTATTCTAGTTCAAGAGGAAAACACAAGGAAATGTACAAACTATTGTATACTAAACTGCAAATTAAGACAAAGATTCACAACATACTTGAGGGGAATTAAGAAATCATAATGAAGAATTAAATCGAGAATTAACATCCTATGATTAACAGATCAAGAATTAAAACTCAATTAACATATGGATAGTGCATGAACTATAAAAAAATGGGTAAGAGGAAAAGAACCTGAGCAAGGAAGAAATTTGAGATAGAAGAAAGAAATGAGGAAATCTGGAAAGTAAAAGTTAATTTTTGGAATGACGAGGTGTGCAACTGTGGAAGATCTCTCTTGACTCTCTATTCCCAATTGTATGGGGCTTTATTTTAGTTCATTCTTCATTTTTGCCTTTATATATTTGGCTTGCTGCTTTTGGACCTATCTTTCATTTATTTATTTTTTTTTAGATTTGCCAACTCGTAGTAAAATAATTTATATGCACTCGGAATTCAAGGTGTATCAGATCAATTTTTTTTGCTCATTTAATACTTTGTTTTTTTAACTACTATTTTAAATGAGTAAAAAAAACAAAAATCAAATGAGAAGAAAAAAAACTACCCTTGTGCAGAGTTACCTTTATGAATACTCGAGTGCATATAAAAGGTGTCGGCTATTTAGCTTATTTCTTTTTTTCCTCTAATTTAACATTTTAATACTTGAATCGACGCGGTCAATAATTATTTTGTACTACCGTATTTTGAAAAAATCATATGACAATATAGTAATCATTATGTAGTTCCGTTCTTATGTGTGTCACATGCCTTATTCAAAATTGTTACAGAAGTGCATCACTAATGAAACTATTCACCATATGATTAGGGATGAGCAAAAATTCAGGGTACCTTGAACCAGAATTGGAAATGGTGCAACTTAAAAAACGAAGGAAGAATATCACAAGCTAAATGCCAATCATAATTTCTTAATTGCAAACTTTAATCATTATCATTTCAAGAAAGTTAGAAAATTTGGGCAAAGAGTTGCAAAAACTTGGCAGGACTTCTCATTTTCTCAATGTTTTGCCCAAAGGCAGAGCCCCAAACTTTTTAAACCTAGCTCTGATTTGACATGTCATGCCGTCCTCCGGACATCCTCTCTGCTTCTTCTCCCCGCTCACCTGCATATCACAGCCATGCCAAGAAGCAATCTTCATTAAGATGCAGAGGTGGAAAAGGTAAATCTGTAGGTGCTAACTAATGAAAGACTTATTACCAGTGCGCACTCTTATGATGTCAGAAACAGGCAGCACTGCACAAATCGTTACATTACATCAAGTCCAATTATCATTAAACTTAGAAAATATTTCAAGATAAACCAAAGAAAACTATACCTATACCTCTGACTCTGAGAGACCAGGAAAGAACCTCCATGCAGTTTTATAATCCTAACTGTAATGTAATTCCTAACTAGGCCTTGTCTAGCGCCTCAACATTATACTATGAGCCAAAAGCTGCGTATTGGTTTGTAGCTTGATTGTAGTACGATAACAACTGAACAACTAATGTGAACATTTACTTTGGTGTATTTCTTCTTGAATATGAAAGTAATTTGTACAGCAAAAGCATTTCTCATCCATTCCACATTATTTGCAGGTGAGCTTGCAAGGAGCCCAGGGCAACTATACACTTAAAGTTGGTATCAGTAAGTCTTTGTTATCCTTTGTAAAATGGGGAAGTCAAGGGCTTTAAGTGAGCAGATTTCCAAAATGGTACAAAAAGCAGATGATCTGAAGTTGAGAAGGCAGGTGGCAGAATAAAACTCTAGCTTCATAAAAAAATTTCAGCAAGTCTACTAAATCTTACTTTGTATATTTCTAGAGTGACTTTGTCCAGCAACAAACAAGTATATGGACTTCAATTTTCCTAAAGACATCTTACCGAAAATTTTTCCATCACCAATTTCACCAGTCCTTGCTTCCTGTATTATCAAGTCCACAATTGGATCAACCTGAAACGGTGTAACAGTGAACTTTAATAAATCATAATAGGGCTTGGAATAGATCAATGATAAAACAATCAGAAAATTATGCACTAACAATTAGAAAATTATGTACGTATAGTGGCAAGACATGAGAGAAAATAATTCGATGTTTGAGTTCAAAGGGCAATAAAAGTATAGTATTAGCTTTTGACATTAAACACCTGATCTTTGCTGACCACTATTTCCATCTTAACCTTGTTTACAAACTTATCCTCAGAAAATTCAGATCCTGGGAAAAAATAAAAAGTAAAATTAAACCATCAAATTAAAATGATGCACAAAGACTGTAAAACAGAGACAGCATTTTCTGAAAATTATATTTTCAGACAAACAAGCATGCACAATACTATATTCAGGGGAATATATGAGCTACTCTATCTAATGTACATAAGAGCTACTCTATATGCACAATACATTATATGTACAGCATCCTTACAATCGAATTAATCTGTCTAGAATTAGTAGTCACATATACTGATTAAAGATGCCTGGAATAAGTTGTCATTTTTCCTAAACTGGAAATAATTTCTAAGTGGTTTTCTTAATACGCCCCTACACAAGTTAATTGATGGGGAGAGGATGTAGTGACGTAACAGTTAAAAGGGGACTTCTGTATAATCACTTCATATCCGTATTTTTGAGGGGTTAGCAAAAATATGGCAATTATTTCTGGTTGAAGAGAGTAAACAGCAGCAAACTGTTAAGGTTCACATGAGCATCGAGTTTATGATAAACCCATTAAGCTCAGTCTATGCACTTCTGGAGAGAGGGGATACAAATGAGGCCAGAGTGAAATGTTCAAGAAGCAACTTACAAAAAAATGGGATTGCGGTTCATAAAGTGATGGGTAATTTTAAGTGTTAACGACACTGGTCAGAACTCAGAAGTCCTTTCATACAAAACATTGACCTCAGTATAATACTATATGTGGAAGGAAAAATAAATGTGAGTCATGATATTTTTGGCAGGCTATGACTTAATACAGTTTCCATGCCATTTGGTTTCTTCTGCTGCTTTACAGCCTAGTTTGAACATCAGAAAGTACTAACCAGCATGTCTTTCTGCGACTCCTCCTTGTGCTCCAAAACCTCGAACATCAGAAACCGTGACACCGCGAATGCCCATCTTCAGCAAAGCCTTAAATCCATCCCAGAAAATATTGAACAAAAAGTTTAAGAATCTCAAACCAGAAACAAAAGACAATGAGTTCCAAACAATAGTAGCGTCGCCCCAAACTAAAGCATTCAATCATGTTATGCACTCACTTAAGAAAGAGTTTGTCACTTGTTGAGAAAAAATAAGGATGATCGGATCAACAATCAATCAATCAATCAAAGCCTTAATCTTATAAAAGTAAGGGTGATCGGATTAAGAAGAAACACCAAAATAAGTTACCACATAAATGTATATCTCTTCATAAGAAAAGCAATGTAACAAACCAAACATATAAGAAACCGAGGCATACAAGTACGCATACGATTTACATATGAATGTAGTGGCATCAGGGCATAGTGTATTCACATATGTATCATTTGATTAGAGGATGATAATATTTTTGGTTATAATGTACGAGTATGTGGTTATCTCAACATGTTGATTCCCTCAATAACATAGGTGATGCAACCTAAGCATCTCTTCTAAGTGGTATGCAACTATGCATGATAGGGAAAAATGAAAATTAACTTCCTCTACTCCCTACTCCACTTCGTCTTTTGAGCAGCTGCCTTTAGCAGTAAGCATTCCCGGATTCCCCATGCCTCCCCCCTTCCCCCGCGCGCGCACACACACAAAAACTAAACAAAATATCTTCTTGGTATGCATTCACCATCTTGCTATTCTAAATTTCTAATGTATTTCAATATAAGTGTTTAATATGTATTTTGGTAAAATATAAGGCATTATAATTCAGCACACACGAGCAAGTGTAGCATTGCAATTATAATTCACAAAGTTGAATGGGCAGAACATAATAAAGTGTGTTGAAGATGAGTTCTTACCGCAGAAACCTTGGGGATTCTCCAGGGTCTTTCACCAAAAAGATTCATCAACACAGCAGTACAGGCACCACAGAAAAACAACCCCCCAAAATAAAAATATCAGAAGTGAACATGAATATATACAAAAATACTTCTGCGATACCACATTATTATTAATCAACTATAATTCCCCTTTCGTATCGGTCAATGAAATGCGAATGTGATATGCATTCTTCATAAGAATTCCATTAAAATTTTGCAGTAGAATCCATAGCATTGAATTAAGGGGTGTTGCTTAATTTCAATTGTTAATCGAAATAGAGGGATAGTAATTAGTAAAGAAAATGCACCTGAGAATTGCCTCCACTTTGTAAAACTTGGTTTCTGGAACATACTCTAATTGCCAAAAAGCACGATGATTAAAAAACTGCCCATTTGAAAACCCAGGATAGAATAATTGATAACTAAAAACCCAAAAACACAGAAATAGTACCTGAAACAGTTTGAGCTCTAATTAGAGGCAAAGTACGCAGCTTTGCAGAACGATTGAAAGTGAGATTGAGATGAAATGGCTGAAAGTGAGCAAATTTAATTCCAAGGTTGGAGTTCTTGGATGAGAAAGAATGATTCAAGGGTCCTCCACCAACCCCGATTATAGCAGATTTCGATGTCAAATTTACAGCCATTGTTTGTCTGTTGAGAGCGCAGGGTTTTACCTGGGTTAAACCGCAGAGAATGAGAAACCAAGTTAATGAGCCTCATTGACTTCGTTTTGTAAATTAAGGGACTATTTTTTTTTTTTAGGGATTATTTTCATCTATTTAAATGAGGCTGTAAGGGTATTTTCATCTAGTAATGAGGACAAATATTGTAATTTGAGATGAAAACTTAGGACAAGTATTTACGAGAATGTCACTTGGTATGTTAAATTTGATATGTTAGACAAATTGATGGGAAATAATTACATTTATTAATACAATAATACCTTTTTACTTTCTTTTTCAAGGCCCATGTATAGTAACTTTATACTGACAAGTAACAACCTCAAAATACCCTATAAATATTAAATCCTTTTGTCCATTTCTTTTCACCTCTCTCTCACACACGAGCACGTATTCAAACATGTTCCATGGCTCAATCCCGAATAATCTTCACCACAACTATTGTAGTACTCACAATAGCTATTTAGCAAGCACCGAAACACGTTCTCTAGTTGTTGATCTTAATCCTACTAAATGACTCGATATTAATTTGATACTTAATTTGCTTCTTAGTAGATGTATTAAATATTTCAATATTTGTGTTATAAATTATTAGTTGATGTCTTTATAAAAAGTTAATTGTATTCTCGATAATGTATAAATGATTTAGTGCGGCTAGTCATTGTCGATTGACACAAATTTAATAGTTGAAGTGGAGCATATGAGGAAGGGAATGTCATATTACTACTCAAGTACTCATTACATGCGAATTTGATATGTGGTAAGTTTTCTAAATGCTTGAGGCTTCATTACCACCCACCTAATAGCAATCTTGTGTAATTGTAATTTTTTTGGCACAATCACATGTAATTGTAGAAGTAAATTTAGTTTCACTTAATACATTTATAAGACAATGTCATGGTTAGTCTAATTAATCTAGTCATATATATCATTGATTTCTAATCCCCATGCTAATAAAGGTGTGTGAACGATTTTATCTTAAGAAGAGCCATTTTATTTGGCAATCGGAAGTAAAGGACGAGCCAATTTTGACTAGCCGTCTTCTAACTACGAAGTATAATCTAGTAATCTACTTGCATGTTTTTTTTATTTTTACATTCATGCCGGATAAGTTCTTGACAACTAATCCCCAAAATGCCCTTAAAAAAATCCCCAAAAACCAAGATTGAAGTGGAGATTAATTCTTGATTTGGTCCTGTTGAGGAGGTTGTAGTATTGCGAATGGCTCGGGAGAAGGATGGAAAGGAAGAGGAGAAGTACGTTTACAGAATAAGCACCGCCAAAGAGTGGGATGATTTCCAGAGTAATGGTCATACTTTTGGTGCCGATCTTGATAAATCTACTGCTTGCTTTCATCTCAGCACTCTTTCTCAGGTTCTTTCTTTTTCAAACCCCTTTTCTTTCCTGCTTTTTTCCACAATATTTGCTTATTCAACATATAATTTATTGCCCATTAAATTAAGGGCTCAAATTCACTATTTGGGCATCGAAAGAAACATTTTTTTTTTGTTTTGTAAAGTCAATCAAGTTTTAATTTTGTTGTTCAATTGAATTAAATATTGTACTTGGCTTAATCGTTCTCTCTTTTTTAATCATTCTCTTTATTTATTCTTAAATAGAACAATTTTTTTTAGTTTGAATGTGTATGATTGCTTAAGATATAGCTTGATATTCGCGATTGATTAGATACAAGTTAAGCAATTGGGACATGTGTTATCAGGTACAACCAACCTTGCAAAGATTTTTTACAGACACTGATCAGGAGTTATACCTGCTTCAAGTTGATTCAGACAAGGTGCTTTCAATTCTCTTTCTTATTTTGAGGTGACAGTGATCATCCAATTCTGCATTTAGTTGTATGCATTACTCCCAACTCCCAATTTTTGTTCATAATAAGCTATCAAGTTATGTACATATTTCCACTTTCCAGGATTCTTTCAGTCTAAGTAGGATAGGTTTTTAGGTGATGCATTATCAATACTTGGAGAGCACAAGCTGCAATCAATGATTTTGAATTCTTGTCGAATGTCCAAACTCCGCTAAACTTGATCTTGTTTCCCAGCTTTCTTGGAGATGTTTGTTCCATTAGTCTATTGGCTGAGTACATGGGTTGATCTAATCTTATGATGGTAAAAGCATAGTCTTCACTGCTTTAATGCTCTCTAAATATGTCTATTGAAAAGTTGAACAGTGATTACTTATCATACCAGTTGTAGTAGCATATAATACACCGTTACCTCTACATCTATAAAGAGGCTCTTCTGGGTGAGGATGGGGGAGGGATTCATATACACAGCATTTAACATACGTTTATGTGGAAGCTCATTCAGCTGTACATATACAATACATGAAAGTTGTATTTATGAAACCCTTAATCCAAATGACTGATGTGCTGCAATGTGGTGTGCTATAGTGAATTCCAATTAGAACTTTTGATTCAATTTGTTGTAGTTCATAGTTGAAATTTTCCCATTAAATATTATTATGGAATATGGAATTTAATTTCATTGGTCATGCTTTCGTTACTTTTCTTTGCTTTGCTCCCCTGTTTAGGAAATGAGGTTTGATCTGGGGTGCATCACTATTCATTCCATCATTGTATAGAAATGAAAGATAAATTTGTCAGTGAGATGTCTTGACTTACTTCAGATACTCGGAATCTTGAACCTTCTAAACAAAATTATCATCAACAGACAGGATATGATGATTGATGAATGTGTTGGTCAAATCATATACCAATGCGATGATTGGTTGTATACCCTTTTTGTTTTCTGTATCAGTTCCCTTACTGCAGCAATCTAAGTCTCAACATCTTTTTTGCAGCTTGGGGATGGATTGATATATGAGCTTGTGGAGGGAACCCATTGGTTCCCACATTTCTACGGGCCATCACGTAGTTTTGCTCCTCTTCCTCTTGATGCTGTCACAAGGGCAGAAAAGATCACATTCTCAAACGGCAAGTTCACTTGCAGTTTGCTTGATTGAGAGGTTCTGCAAAGAGGGCATTTTACAACTCATTGCTATCAGAACCTTCTGTTTATTAGATTAAGTTATATGAATATGAATTTACTTTGATCTCGTACTTGGTACTATTTATTTTAACTCTTCCCAGACACTTTCAAGATCACTCCATTCTGTAAAACTTCTTGCTATTTGTATTTCGGGGACAGCTTATACTACACCTTTTTTTCAAGTAGAAACTATGAATGTTTTTGTTGACCAAGTATTTTCCTCATTTATGCTCTTAAGCACCACCTAAAAAAACTTTGCAAGTTTAGAAGTTTTGTTGACGGTTGTGTTTGTTTTGACAGACTTGAATCACAATATGCGGGGATAGCTCAGTTGGGAGAGCGTCAGACTGAAGATCTGAAGGTCGCGTGTTCGATCCACGCTCACCGCACTGTCTTTTTCTTTTTTTTAATCCCCACTAATATTACTCCTTACTAAACTACTATATATACTACTATTGGCCTGACTGGCTATCACACTTATCAGTCCAGAATTGCACTATGATACCTATTTTGAAATTTGAAACACCCAACCATACTATATACACACATTCTATATATGTAATTAAAAATAAAAAAATAAAAAAAAAAGGAGGATGTTTGAGGATGAAATTAATCAATTTGACACTCAACCCATTAACTTTTCTTCATGCAAATGAGTCTATTTCATGATGCAGCCAATTCAGTAACTAATCTATATTATGCCACAGGACAAGGGACTTGATTGATGAGGAGGTGTCCCCTGGTGCACTGTATGCTTAGCATTGAACAAAATTGAGCTTCCAATCACCCTTTGTTCATCAAAACTAACCTAAAAGCCTGTTGCTCAAAAGATCCGTTTCTCTAAGGAATGAAATTAGCTTTCCGGGTGAGTCATCTACAACTGATTTAGTCCAATATAATTTCTTGCACAAAGTATATTATACTCTCTCCGTCCGTAGTAATTGTTGTATAGTCTCAATCCATCAACTTTAAGTATTTGGTTTTAATATATAAAACATGATTTTGCTAACATGCACTTTGTGTTTATTGCACCCCTCTCTCCCTCATTCCAAATGACACTATCATATGAAATCCAAGCATGATATATTACTCATTTAACACAACTGTATCAAAATTTCCGAGTACTCCAGGCTAGTTAATGTGATGGCTGATGAGTGACAAAGTATCTGAACACTAAAAACAGTAAAGTGTGACAATTATTACTGGATGAAGGGGGGAAATCCAAACTTCTTCTCAGACAATCTGAACTTGGGTCTTGAATAATGTAGAGGATGAAGGGGAAGCTAAATTATGAAAAGTTTTGATACCAAAGTTTGTATAATAGCAGATGATATGATAGTGAAGTTTTTTCATGTCAGTAATTGTCCAACCTAGGTTTAGTTTTCTATTTTCATTTTCTCAATGATAATATGATATGGGTTCAAATAGTCCAAGAGCAAAGCCACCAGAAAGATTACTGTATGGTAACTCTCAACTGAAAAATGAAGTGTCATGACACAAGGAAAGGCATTCACGTAAAGAGGTAATTCGGATACTCAATATCCAGCCTTTGATTGACGTTATTTTTCGGATACTCAATATCCAGCCTTTGATTGACGTTATTTTGCTCCTACTTACAGAAAAAGGTTGTATACATCATACTTGAGTCATTTTTTTCACCTTAAAAGGTTCTTGTTTAAGGAAAACTAAAATTGCAGATTATGATTAATTAAGTTAGATAAAATAACATTAAGTTCAGTCATGGATCAGTTCGAAACAAAAACTAATACATACATAATGCACTTCCATGTATAAGAAAGATGAGTTAAGATGGAACCTTACCATCTTTCTACACATGATCTGTCTCTGCTCTAGATTCTCCTTGAATTATGTTAAGGATAAATTGAAATACACTTCATAATTGAGTATGTTTGTATATTCTACTTTTAGCATACGGCGAGGACGATCATAGCAGGTAAGAAGGGAATCAATTATACCAAACCAAAATAATGCAGATGAGGACAAGCTTGAAAGTTGAAAGTGATAACTCTCTTAAAGGCTAAAACATCCCACAAGTTTTGTTGGATTCATTGGTGGTAGTCCATTAGTAGTCTGATTCCATCATTGAGTTTACTAATCATAATCATAAGACCATTAAAATGTGACAACAGCAAGTTAGTAATAAAGTATGCAAAATTTTCTAATGCAGAAAGTGTGTATAATGCATTTATTATGAATGATGGCCTAAATTTTGTGTCCTTTATTATCAGTATGATTGCCTCAGCCTTGTGGGGCTTCCCTTCTTTTGATTCTCTCTTTTGCAATTACTTTGATAAGTCACCTTAAACAAATTAATCTCTATTTGTTAAATCTAATCATTAGTTTACTACTTTTTTGATATTCTAGTGTCTCAGTCTGGCTGTCAGAATTATTTGGCTATCTGCTTGTGCTAGGTTCTTGTAATTTTCTTCCCTCCGCATTCAGAAGAACAAAAGAACCTTCCTATTATTAGAAAAAGGATTGTAGATTCTGTGATTATACAATTACTAGGTTGTTTGTAAGCTATGAAGCTCTCTGAAAAGATTGTTTGATGTCAATTTTTCTAACATACTTAAACCATAAGTTGCGGGGATAGCTCAGTTGGGACTTGGGAGAGCGTCAGACTGAAGATCTGAAGGTCGCGTGTTCGATCCACGCTAACCGCATTTTCTATCTACCTTTTTATTCTAATCCGTTGTTAGGTTTAATTATTGTTCTATTACTTTTTGTATGAGATTCCAATGTCTGTCTATCAGCATTATTTGGATTTTGCTGGTTTTTGGAGGTTTGCTCATTCTGTATTCAGGAATGTTGAAGGACCATTGAATTATTTTATTTTTTTTTGTGTTAAAGGCCTTTCCATATAATAAAATAGATACAGTAAGTGTTGATCCTTTGATTCTCCTTCACGAACTTGTTTGCAAGCTACGTAGCTTTCAAAATTATGTCTTTTGTCAAGTATTTAACACATTGTAACCTCAATAGCTCAGTTGGGAGAGCGTCAGACTGAAGATCTGAAGGTCGCGTGTTCGATCCACGCTCACCGCACTCTAGTTACTCTTTTTTGCTCTTCACTGAGACAATGACTACATATTGATCTTTCCGACTAATTTACCCTTCAATTGTTTTCCTATTTTAAATGCAATCTACAAATTTGAGATCTGCTTACAAAGTCAAGGTTTGATGTAGAGGAGTTATCCTAAACATCTCACTTTCAAGTTTACTGCATCCATGTGGCTGTTTACATCTAATGCATTATTTTATAATTCATACTAGACTTTCAAAGTTGTGCGTATGTAAGGAACCGATTTTAATATTTGTTTAATTTTTATCTCAGCTTATTTTGAGGATCAAGGAGAAGATAAACTATCTTTAATTGAGCCAAAATTTAAATACAATTACTAATGGTTGTATTTTCAATTTGTAATGTTTCTCTATTGCTTTTCGAGATAAAAATTATGTCCTCTTGCCAAATTGCTGTATTTTGGAAAATAAAATAAAAATTGACCAAGAAAAGAAATAAAAAGAGAGGATTAAAGATGCTAAGCCTGAGAATAAGTGACTCGCTGGAATAATGATGGAGATTCGGATGATGAGTGCAATGTGGTGTTGGATGAGCATACTGCTGCTGCTGCTGTTACTAACACTCTCAAATGGTGTAGAAGGTACTGGACGTCTGAAGAGGCCCCTTGTTGTTAATTTTGGAGACTCGAATTCAGATACTGGAGGGGTGCTAGCTGGTACTGGACTTCCCATTGGCCTGCCGAATGGTATTACATTCTTCCACAGGGGCACAGGCCGATTAGGCGATGGTCGTCTTATAATTGACTTCTTCTGTGAGTAAACTTTATACCATCGTTGGGAGTGTTATTTTTCTATGTTTGAAAAAATCTAATTCATTGTCTGGCAGGTGAGCACCTGAAGTTGAACTACCTGAGCCCATACTTGGATTCACTGTCACCAAATTTTACCAGCGGTGTTAACTTTGCTGTCTCGGGTGCAACCCTGCTGCCAAAGTTTGTTCCTTTTGCTTTGAGTGTCCAAGTTCGTCAGTTCATTCACTTCAAAAATCGATCACTTGAGCTCCTTTCACTTGGTAAATTAGTAGTATTAACTTACATAACAAGTCCATAATTCTTGAATGAAGCCTATTATATGTATATGGTCTAGAAACTGATGACTTACATTATATGCAGGATCCAGGGACTTGATCGACGAAGAAGGGTTCCGCAGAGCACTTTATACGATTGACATTGGACAAAATGATCTTCTATTGGCCCTTTATGCATCAAATATAACATATGATCCTGTTGCTCAAAAAATCCCATCCTTTCTTGAAGAAATTAGGTTGGCTGTGCAGGTAAGCTCTCAACTTGTGCATTTAGATTCTGGACTACATTCAGGTTCATTGTTAGGTGATTGCTAAAATAATTACAGACAGTACCAATATGGTGGGAGAAAATTTTGGATCCATAACACAGGGCCCTTAGGCTGTCAACCCAAAGAACTTGCCCTGCATCCCCACAAAAGCAGTGACCTTGATCGCGTGGGATGTCTTCGTGTACATAACCGAGTTGCAAAAACCTTCAATAAGGGGCTCCGCACACTGTCTGAGGATCTAAGATCGGTGTACAAGGATGCTGTCATTGTTTATGTTGATGTATATTCTGTCAAATACAGTCTCTCTGCCAACCCTGAAAAATATGGTAATAACTTTCTGAGCTCTCTTAAAGCTTATGTTTATTATTACTGGTAACAAAATAAATAAAATAAAGAAGCCCTCTTTATATATTATTATGACTATTTAGGGGTAAGGTTGTGCCCCAGCGAGATTAATTTTGAGTTATTGCTGTTGTTTAATCATTCTTGTTTATTTCTCAATTAAATTTAAGTTAAAAATGTGGTGTATTGTTCTAGGATTCAAAAACCCATTTGCAGCTTGCTGTGGTCATGGGGCTCCATACTTCTACGACAGAAACGCAACATGTGGGCAGCCAGGTTACAGCATATGCAGCAATGTATCACAGTCCATAGTTTGGGATGGAGTTCATTATACTGAAGCTGCTAATTGTGTAGTAGCTGCAAGAATACAGTCAGGAGTTTATTCTAGCCCGAAAAGTAAGCTTGAGCAATTCTGGAACTAACCCCTGATTTGCACTAATATAGGCTATTACTAGAGTGAGTACATTGAATGTTTGCTTAATCATTTCTTGAAGTGGGATTGAGCAGGAAATTTAAAGAAAAACTTTGTAGTTTGGAATGTTTGCTTCATTCTTTCTGTTTCGGATGAAAACAATGGGGCCTTGCCGAAGGCCCGCTGAAGTGGCTGAAGACTGGTCCGGTCCAATTGATGCTGGGCCGAAGGTTTCCTGCACAACTAAAACACGTAAACTGGCCTCGGGGGTGGATCCGAGGAAGACCCCTCCGATGCCGAAGTCAAACAGTGTTTAGAGAGAGAAAGATATGCAAGAGATTTAATGCTTGAGGCTTTGTTGTGTTGTAATGTATAAATGAATGAATTGAAGGCTTTTATACCTTTGCACATGATGAGGGGAGAGCAATTGGGCCTTTAAATAGTCATGGGCTGACCATGGCAATTCGGACCAAAAGACTCTTGGTTGACTTGGCTTAATTGGAGGCTCGGGCCTTGACCTTGGAATATGAAGTCATTTAGTGATCAGGCCCAATAAGATAATTGGACCCAAATACATGACTAGGCCCAATTAGATAAATTGGACCCAAACACTTTCTTTGACCCAATCAAGGTTGAAAGACCAGAATTTGCATAGTAATAATACTTGCTTCCTGGCTGTGAATTACTTCACAGGAATAACTTTCGTTGTAGCTTAGATAAATAGTCAAAAATCCTGCAGGGGAAATAAGAACCAGAAATCAGGAACAGACTAGTGGAACCCAATTGATCGCAACATGTGACGTTTCATTTACGCTTTAATCTGTCAATGATTAAGGTTCAATCAGAGGTTTATAAACCATGTAAAAACATTAGATGGAAGAGTTATGGACGAAAGAAATTAGGAATACAATAGGATGTGTGGACCATGGGAGAGGAAGAAGATCAACCATTAAATTTTCTTTTTGTTGCTGTTGATGAAGCCCTTAATCTAAAGCAAAGCCACCAGACAAAATCATTGCATGACAATTATTAATAATGGAGGAATTTTAAGCATAAAAAGTATCGAGTTTTTGAAGGAGAACACATAATTCAATAGAGGCGATTAAGGTAACAGTATGAGTAATTAAAAACCAAATTGAAGCTAGCTACCTACTAATAAAAGAAGTGAAGTTGACATGCATACATAAATAAAGATTGAAAAGCTTGGAAAGAAAGAACACTAAGAAATAAGAATGTGAGTATGAACTATTACATCAGCAATCTTATCAGTCCCACAGTCTCCACTATTAAGAGGGAATCCTATAATTAAAGACTGTCTTATCATTAGTTCACTTCCAATTATCAGATACCAAGTGAGCCCTTGCATTTGAATATATAGCTCAAAAAAACCACAATTTAAGTCTTATGTATGTATAATGTATTGGTATATGTCAACCTATGTTGGTTTATTGTACTCCTTGGTATATTGGTAGCTATGTTGGACGGAAATACGGAAGGATGAGGATTATCAAAAGTTCGTTAGTACTACAACGTATTACTATAGTACTTTACTAATCTTTATTAGTGTGTGCATCATTTTACATGTTATATTTCAACAACTAAGATGTATCTTCTTAGAAATATGAATTTTGGTTTGTTTTTTAACCAAATCATTACTTCCTCTCATCTTTATTTCTTCTCTCTTTATATGTTTATATTCTCTCTTCTCATGACTAACCTCGTTAATCATATGTTTTTTTTTTAAAAAAAAAAAACCTCGTTAATCATATGTTTTTTTTTAAAAAAAAAAAACCTCGTTAATCATATTCTTACATTCTCATATCTCATTTTCAATATTATCAGACCCCATTCTTTAATCAATCTATTACTTGTACTTAGTTATGAAATATGTGATATAGAGTACTAATCATACTATAGAATATAATATACAAGTAACAATTTTTGCTTTTTTTTTACACTATACAAGTAATAATTTTGGACTCCCCTATTACTAAATGCACTTATGCAACCCAAAAATGAAAATGAAAATTAAAAACCAAAAAAAAAAAAAAAAAAAAAAAAAAAAAGAGGAAGAAGAAGAAAATTTGGGCTTTGGGCTAATTAAAAGAAGAAGTTGGTAAGAATGGTAAGCATCCAAAATCCGAAAATTCTAAGAACCCAATTAAAAAAAACCCTAGTCCAGAAAGAGCAGTTATAAAAGCATCATCTTGAAAACCCTAATTTTAGTTCTCTGCCGTTCCACACGTTTGACCTCCAATTCCATTCCTGAGTGAGGAGAGAGATGACGACTCGATTGAAGAAGAACAGGAAGAAGAGAGGACACGTGTCAGCAGGACACGGTCGTATCGGAAAGCACAGAAAGCATCCAGGTGGACGTGGTAATGCCGGAGGTATGCACCACCACAGAATCCTGTTCGACAAGTACCATCCCGGTTACTTCGGCAAAGTCGGTATGCGTTACTTCCACAAACTCAGGAACAGGTTCCACTGCCCCATCGTCAACATCGACAAGCTTTGGTCAATGCTTCCTGAAGATGTCAAGGAGAAGGCTTCCAAGGAAGGCAAGGCTCCTGTCATTGATGTTACCCAGTTTGGTTACTTTAAGGTTCTTGGTAAGGGTGTTTTGCCTGATTCTCAGCCTATTGTTGTTAAGGCTAAGTTGATTTCTAAGATTGCTGAGAAGAAGATTAAGGAGAATGGCGGCGCTGTTCTTCTTACTGCTTAGCTTCTTTTTATCTTTTGTTTATGCAATTTTGTCATAGGAATGTTATCCAGGGTTTTAAATTTAGATCTGGAATTTGAGGACTCTTTTTGTTCTTGTTTCATATTCATTTAATGATATGAGCTATTATTTGACCATTTTTGTGATCATTACATGCTATGCTATGAAATTATTATTGTTTTTTTTATAGTGTTGATTGTGTATGAGTAATTTAGAACTGGTCGAAGGGTCTGTTAGGTTTGCCTTTTATGAAATTTGCAGTAATTCAATAAGTTGAAATGACAGGAAAAATAGGAACTTATTGTATTAATATTAATGGTTTCATATCCTTTTGATTTGTAAGGTTCATACTTGAGCTTCTCTGAGAATATTTGTTATTGATCTGAATAGACAGACTATAGGAGAGCTTAGGGGGGCTATGAATTCATGGTCAGTAAAATTGTCGTGGATATTGGATTGCATTGAGGGGCTACTCTGTTACTTTAGGAGACCTGAAGTAGTTTATTTTAATCTTGTGTTAAATTTCTCAAATGATCTGAAGCTGAACAGAGGCTGCATTTGGAGGGTTTTCCCCTTTTCTGCTTTTCTGTGTTTTGTGTTTTTGTGTGGTATAAGATGGCTGCTGCAAAGTATTGCGCATGTATGATATATTAGTGTTAAGGATAGTATTGATAAACACAGGTCCTGTTCTGAAATTAGACAATGTAAAAGTGAATGTACCCCTGTTCGTAATTAGTCCTAGTTTTTGGGATGCCTAGAATTAGTCTTAGATAATAAAATACGTTATACAGAGATCACCTGCTCATCCTAAGAAAATGGTGGAGCGGGTTGCAACACTTGCAAGCTACCGGTAGCTGTCTCTTAGAATTGCACCTAAGGGATTAGAACAGTGTAGCATTACATTCAGTTTCTTTACGTTTTGATGTCGTTTGGAATAGAAACAGAATGTGAGGCGGCGAGGGTTGTGGAAATGTGGACAAATAAGATATTTGGCTCCATTGGAGAAGAAATATGGAAATAATGGGGGTGATGAGAGAGATCAGAATACTACTGTCAACTTATTTTTCTTGTTTGTTCTTATCCATGGATGATGATGCTCTCGACTCTTAAAGCCTCAACTTCAAATCAATGCTACTAAATTTGATTGAATTTAACTACTACCTCCGTTAACTATTATTTGCAACAAAGGGATAAATTCACATGTCTTGATTTTGGAAGAAACTGAATATTAGCACTTTCATATGATTTCATGAAAATGGATAAAAGTTCAATTTGAAGACTCAGTTGTGGTGAAAATGCAAAACTTCTTGTTACAAATAAGCTTGGAATCCTATAATCAATTGAGTTTGGTACTCCCCTAGTAATATGTTCTCCCTATTATGAATAATTTAGTCTCACGGTAAGATTATAAATAGAAAGAACAATATGAAATGGACAGAGGACTAGTGAACTAATCACCTAAAGGCAACCTTATTATAGTAACATTTGGGAAAGAAAGTTATCCAAGGATGTCATGTTCTGGGGAATGAATATTGTTTGAGTATGAACTTCTAAATGAACTGTCTTACTCTTATGAATCTTATCAAAAACTATAACTTTTTAGTACTATCATTGTTAAATACTACGGAGTACCAAAGCTTCATTTCATTAGGGTTTGAGTAGCCATGAACACTCCTAAATGGCCAATTGGAGTGAGTTTTTAAGTGAAGTTCTAACTTTAGTTTAGTCAAAAATTAAAAAAGTTCTAACTTTAGTACTACTTTGTATTATATTATGAGTATAGGCCGCTCTACAACCAAGTTTAGTTTCGCCTTTATAATTAAATAAAGGCGATATTAAATATTCGACTAAAGTCCCAAGATAGGTTGAAATTTGGTGATGCTTAAGTAATGCATTTTCCTGAAAAATGGGCAATCAAATAATCTAAGCTAACTTAATCAATAATATAATTTCCATTCATTAACTAACAGACTGTCTGGTTGACTTGTGATTGCCTCCCTGTGGGTCAGTCCTTAGTAATTGCTCTTGGGAGATGCATATTCATCAGACAGACAGATTCAATGTTTTAAGCTTTGGACTATCAGAAATTTGAATTGCTGGATTTTCTCTAGTTATATGATTGTTACATGCTAAATTTCTTTCAGACAATGTTAAGTGACCAAACTATTGAATTATATTGTTTGATCGCGATCGAGAGCACTGTCAGCCAGAAATCAAAGCTTATTTTGTCTGTAGTTCGAGCACTTGCAATCGAAAGAAGAAATAAAAAAAAAACATATAGTACGAGGATCTCTTTCTTATTTTGTAGTATTGCATCTTTATTTGTTTTGGTTTCTGCATGATTTAAGTATATATGATTTGGTTGGTTTGCATGTATTATGTATAATACTAATTTATGTAGCCTTAGCTTGTAGGAATAGTATCTTAGTTGGACGAGCATGATCTGCAGTTGGTAGGCAAATAAACTAGTCATTCTTTTCACCTTTTTTTTCAAATACACGAGCAATACAAAAATTTCTCCACTCAACTCTTTCTTTAATAAAGCACATTTAACAGACAATGCCGGAAAGAGAAAAGAATAGGTGCTCTAAATTCAGCTGGAATATTCTAGGATTTGAGTTTTGACAACCAAAAGTTTCCAGATATTCAACTACACCCCTTTGAGCTTCTTGTTTTTCTGTACTGTGGAATTGTGGTGTTGGTCATGTTAATGTGGTTTAGAATTGATTTCAGCCAAGATTTTATACTGTTAAAGTGTTAACGACATCAACTTGTGCTGTGTTATATCCCTGGACCTTCTTCATGCAAGGGTAATTTGTGGCTTTTTGCAGTACTTAGTTGCCTTTGTATACATTACTATTACCCTGCTTGATGTTCCAATTAAGTATCAATGAATGGCGCAATGTAAGTCATGGTAGTGGTAGGTTTCTATCTGTGTTATTGTCCTTTGATTGACCTGGTGCAAACAAGTTCAATAAAAAAAAAAAAAAGGATAATATGCTCCATTTCAAGTTGCTAATTTGATCACTGTCAAAAAAAAAAGTTATTAATTTGATACAACTTGTAGCAAATTTGACCTGTTAAAACATACAAGTATGTAGTTATGTAACCACAAAGGCTAGTAGAGTAGATGAAACTGTTCTCGAATTCTGAGTATGTATAATAATTTCTAAACTTTGCCAACAATTGATTGATATCCTTGTACGTCGTACTAAACTAATACTTCCTCCGTTTTCTTTTAGATGCAACACACACTTTTTCAAGGTATTTAAGAAATGTGGGATTCACATGATATAATACACTTTATAATGGGATGAGTGGTTGTTAGGAGTGTAATTTAGTGGGCTATGTGCTTTAAATAAGGGAAATAGTATAGTTTTTCCCTAAAGTAACTTTCCTTTTATAGTGTGTTGCAAGTATTGTGACATTTCCTTTTTAGGGAAGTGTTGCAAGTAAAAGAAAACGGAGGAAGTACTATTCCTTAAATATATAAATATAGTCATTCCTTTTTATTAAGACTTTTATTGAATAAATCGGTATGCTTAGATAATTTATTAAAAACCACTTATAGAGACGACTTAAATAGAAATAATACAAAATAGCTTAAAGGATGAGGATATGTTGTAATAATTCTCCATTGGTAATTTTTGTTTTTTATTTTTCCACTAGGCTATAAATTCGTAGCCCCATAGGCTGGTTGGCATTACAATAATGCAATGTATATTTGTATGTAAAAGAAAAGAAGGATAAAAAGAAAAGTCGTAGGGTGATAAAAGTTGATGCAGTGAACCAGTGAGCAGTAGCCAAGCAGGATAACATAAAAATGTATCTTTTTATCTTGACTGTAATAACTAATAAAGTAATGTGACAATGATATTGTCCCATATTGATAATATATTTATCACCCGACTTTTTTCATGGAAGCTAATTTGCCATGTAGAGTTGTAGGACAATAATTTATTTATTTCTCTGTACTTTGTTTGATTAATTGCCTGCAAGTCTAGAACTGTACATATGGCTATCTCTTTCTTTAAAAAAAAAATGTTAGAGGGGTTATATAGATCTATGCATGCAATCCTTCTGCTATCTCTTTTTCATAAATGTTGAATTAAGTTCTCAACGGAATAACATTCATACTGATTTACGAATATGGGAGGACAAATCTATTTTAGAAGCGTTTTGGATCAACATTTAAATTGGTTCAGGCATGTTGGACAATCATTAATGTGCAGTGTTTCGCAACTTCGAAAATACGGGCGGTACTTATTGTTTCCAGTTTCCGAGCATTAGAGTGCGGAGATAAGCAAGGCTAGAATTGCAGGACTATGTATTTTACGGGGTATACCGTACTACCAGTACTTAAAGTCAAGAGGAAATGCCTTATACTAGTATAAAAATTGTAGGTGTTAGGGAAGGTAGCAGCAACTACTGGTATAATTGTAAGATGCATCAAAAATAAGCTGTATTGAACTGGCAAGCTAAGGCCCATGTCATCAGAATCTTCCGTCTAGGAGCCTATAACTTTGTCCAACCATTTTCATTTATTTACGAGTGGTTTTTAAGTTAAGTGGTGGGTGATGCCTTTAATTTAAATATAACAAATTATAAGCAAGGTCAATATTATGGCAGATTTAGAGCCACATAAAAAATGAAAACTTGGGGGTGAATGTTGATGTTTAACAAAGTTAAATTATTCAACTTCTGAATTTTGTTTTAAAGTACTAACTACTATGTAGATTATGGAGTATGTAAGATCATATTGTTGCTGTATTTTGGCATATATATGTATATATATTACAAAAACTATACTGTAGTCAACATAAAACAAGATATTTCCAAAATTTTGGCGTCTGCTATCAATATCTTAAACTAGAAAATAAATTGTCGCACACCTAATTTTCTCCCATTTTCCGTTGATGTGTCAAATTTCTAATGGTATTGTATGTAGGGTCAACATACAATGGTTGTATGTGTATCAGCTCTCGTGAAATACTAAGGGGTCGTTTGGTTCATTAGGGAAGTGAAAATTCCCATGGAATTACAATTTGTAGGAATTAAATTCTTTTGTCAAAATCATGGGACATCATGAAATTTGTTTGGTTAAAAATGGAGGAAGTAAATTCCCATAGGAATTGTA